TTTTTTAAAATTCAAGTGAATCTACTATGTTTACATTCTATGGATTTTTAATATTTTTTAAATGTTTATTTATATTTATTTCATCTATGTGAGCACATAGCTGGAGAGAGGGAAACAGAACAAGAAAGATTTTCCATCTGCTGGTTCATCCCTCAATGCAGGCAACGGGCAGGACTGGGACAAGCTGAAGCCAGGAGCACACAACTCCACCCAGGGTTCAACTCCAGCCCACATGGACGCCAGAGGCCCAAGCACTGAAGTCATTGTTCCCTGCCTCCCAGTATGCACCAGCAGAAAACTGGATTGGAAGTAGAGAAACTGGGACTTGAACCAGCATTATTATACAGGATGTGGCTGTCCTAGGCAGTGACCTAACTTACTATGAGGCACAATCCCTGTCCCAGATCCTTGTTGATTTCTAATTCTCTGCCTTTGGTTGGTTTCAGCTCCTTGACTACACAGGTAAACTGTGGGCAGGGACTGTGCCAAACAGATCCGTGTGTCATCCATGATACCCAACAGTTACTCAGTTTGTCAGACTAGTGGGCATACATTACAGCTGAATATTAAATCAATCCCCAAGTGTCATGGCCCAGGAGCATCTTCCTTGGATAATTTTTACTAAACGTTTCATTAATCAAGGATGCAACAGCATATTTATATGCATAAAATAATTCAAAATTTAAGAAAAACTATGCATGGTAAAATAAAGGCAAGAGTATCAATCTATTTAGAAACAAAATATAGAAAGAATAGAAGCCAACAAAGGGCATCAGAAAATTTCCACCCTCTTACGTATCTGTTAAGCCTAAAAGTCAATCACTAATGATCAAAAGGTGAATACTGATATGTAAATTAATGAACAAGGGCCTTGTTCAAAAATTAACAAAGACTGCTCTGAAATTAGACCCTATACCTTGATTACAAGGGCCTTTGCAAAGTGTGACTATAGAGCCAAGAACAGAGTATAACTTATGGTAAATTATTCAAAGGAAGAGAACGTGTTTTATCCATCTTTGTGTCTGATGAATTAAAATACAAAGATAAAAAAATCAATACAGTCATTTAAATTACTGTTCTCATAGCTTCTTGGCCTTTTGGCTAAGATCAAGTTTAAATTATTGTTGTTCTGTATAAAATAAGTCACCTTGAAAGACTACTGTATCATAACAAAGATTTTTCTCATTTCAAACAGCATGCAATTGTTCTTTTACTGTCTATGGAATGAAGTTGACACTCTAAATTGAAAGTTAAGTCCCATCAGTATTTTCTCTTCTAATTTCACAATTTTCATTCCTTTTCTAGTTTTATTTCCACTTCTTTCTTTCAAACATCTTACCTGTTAATCAAAGTAAACATTTTAATTTTCAAACTTGTTTATCTGTATTGTTGGTTCTTTGGCAGTTTCTTAGGTCATTTAACTCATTTTTCCTTATTGCATTATACCTTATAATACCTTGTTTTACTTACTAGATTGTAAATCCTTTATGTCAGAGCTTGTTTTTTTTATCTGCTTTCATATTTCATTGCCCAGCATCTTATTTGTTTTCATACTTTACTATGTGGTACAGGACCTGGCACATGGTAGGCTTAAAAAAATGAGTTAATGAAATATTTGAGGTAGGAACAACACCAAAAAAACTCAAAACTGGGAACTCACTTTTGACAAGCAATAGAGTAAAAATTATTGCCTTAATTTTATATGGCAGTAGGATTCAAATGTAAGTGGGCATAATAAAAAACCTGAGAAACTTGTTTAAAAATGTAAATTCTTGCTGTTGCTTGTCACCAGGGGACTTGAGTGGATGTCAAGAGGCCGCTGCAAATACAAAGTAATTATTTCCTGAACTACTGTTGACAATAAAGAGGTAAAAATGAAGAAACAGATATAAGAGAATAATGGCAAACCCCTGGCAATGGCAGGAAAACCTTTTCTTGGCTGTTTTTCCTTCCATGTAACTTTTGGCTTCTAAAATCAAAATGACAACCCTGGGCTCATTTGAAATCCCAATCGCCTAAATGCACACAGGGAAATGACAATTTTTCTCATAAGACTTTTCAGAAATGAACCATGCTTCAAATTGCACATTGTATAGGCTAAGCCACAGAAACTTTTATCCAATAAAGCTCTTTGAGAAAAATGTTACTGTGGGCTAGGAATTGCAAAAGATAAGCTGTGGTTATAATGCAACAATGCACTGAGAGAACGGTCATATTTTCTTTGGATTATTTCAAACAGAAGATATGAATTGTAGGAAGTAGGACTTCAAGTGGTTAAGAAGAAAAGAGTTCTATCTTTCAGAAGTTTGTAAAATGCCAGTATTCTAAATTTCATACACTGAACTCCTCAGGATAGTCCGATATAGTACACAATATCTGTCACTCCTCTATCCATTTGGCAAAGACTTCAGAGAGATAAATGTTAAAAGAGGCTCACAAAAATGGAGACTTCTGGAAAGAATGACCAAAGCCAGAAATAAAATTGCACTAATTAGAAAACAAATAATTAAATGGCCAAACCCGAATGTTGTGTGATGCTGACAAGAGATAAATTTCTAAGGCACACCATCTGTTTTACAGTTTTTGTCTTGCTGTACTACAAATCTTTTCAGCATGGTTTTTGCAGTTGTCTTGCTGCTAACTCATTTGCACAATTACTTTAGGCCAGAAATCATTATTGCACCAAATCTTTTGAGATCGACACATTCATAGGGGAGGGCAAATAGACCCATTCCTGAGTGAAGACTTTTCTATGCTCTTAGAAAATATTATTCAAAGAGATGACTAGAAATTACCCATGGAAAAGGAAGGAATCTGAAAGGAAAGTGATACTACCAAGTGCCTACGGCACCTAAGCCTCCCTGTGCCCTTCTCAGGCCTGCACGGTCTGCAGGCAGCTTTCAGGGACTTTTTCCCTCGCTCCAAATTTTCTTCCTGATTTATCTCTCCAGATCAGTGGATTTACATGGATGACATCTATATACCTCTGACTCTTGGAGATTGATAGCTCTGGCTTAAACTTGTCCAGGTTCAGATTTATGAATCCAATGATCTATTTGATATCTGCACTTTGGTGGAGACAGACATTTCAAAACTCATCACATGGCTGGAAACTTGAATCAGCAGCACTGCTCTGGGAAAAAGAAATTCGGATTCTCCCAAAGTAGTGCACATTTCAGTAAATCGCACAACCATCTGATTGGTTACTGGGAATCCTTCACGTCACCCTCAATCCCTCCCTTATTCTCATTCCTCACACAATCCCCAGATCTCACCACTTCTAAGAAATACTTCATGTATACTTCTCTTCATCTCTTGCTACCTCCCTACCTAAGCCACCACAGTCTCCCAGTGACACGACTTCAATATCTACCTAATTTTCCATTTCTAAGCTACTTCCCATCTAACAGCCAGAGTGATAATTTAATAATTATACAGTAATTTACATTTCAAATGAAATTATATGACATGTCCCTGGTACCTAACACAGTGTCTAGTAAATAACAGATCTGTAATTTTATTCACAGAATACTAGCCAGTAATAATCCCATGCATCTCTATTAATCTCCAATCTCAGTTCTCAGACATTTTCTGAAATATCAACAGCCCTGCTCATTTACTGAGACATTCACTCATTTAGCAATTGCTTATTGAGCATCATACTAACTGGGATCAGGTTCAGCTGCAAGTTTTATTTTGATCCTGGCTAATAGAACGTACGAAGGGTGGTATGGCGGTTCTATCAGGTAGAAGTCCTGGTTCCTCACATCCAGTAGTTCCGTCATCCTTAGTTTTTATGGATTCTACCCTGCAGTCTAACAAGGCTCCAGGCTCCAGCCATCATGTCTGCTCTATAGTCACTAGCAAAGGAAAGGGCGCGAGCAGTGGTACTCACTTCTACTTGCATGCCACTGGCCATCACAACTGGTAAAGAAGACCGAGGAATAAAAAATAATAATAATAAAAAAGAAGACTGAGGAATAAAGCCTTTTAACTGGATAGCAACGTTGTTAAGCGAAATGTCAGAATTCTAATTATTACAGAAGTAAAAGAGACTGAACATGGAGCAGTAAGTGGCAGCCTCTTCCAAAGTTTCTATTTGTGACTGAGTCATGTCCTAGGATTGGGGATAAAGAGATGTGAAACACAGAGGGGCTGAGCTTGAGTCATTTAATACAATGTCAGAAAGCAAGACATTAAAAAAATAACTATGCTGGGCCTGGTGCAGTGGCCTAGCAGCTAAAGTCCTCGCCTTGAATGCGCCAGGGTCCCAATCCCATATGGTCGCCAGTTCTAATCCCTGGGGCCCTCCCTCCCATCCAGCTCCCTGCTTGTGGCCTGGGAAAGCAGTTGAGGATGGCCAAATGCCTCGGGACTCAGCACCTGTACGGTAGACCTGGAATAAGTTCCTGGCTCCTGGCTTCGGATCAGCTCAGCACTGGCTGTTGCGGTCACTTGGGGAGTGAATCATCATCGGACAGATCTTCCTCTCTTTCTCTCCTCCTCTATGTATATCTGACTTTGCGATAAGACTAAAATAAATCTTTAAAAAAAATAACTATGCCAAATTGTAAAATGAGGCAACAGCCATTGTTTGGAAATGCTGGCTTTTCTGAGGCCTAGAAGATTCCCTGTATTCAAAGAGACATAAAAGGTCCCAGTGCCTTTATACCATGGAACTATCCAAATGGCTTCACCATTCCACAGTCTTAGTAACAGACATTCCTCAGTATGCTGTTTGTGATACTTGCACAGCACTGAACAAGGCGCGGCTTACTTAAGTTCTTTCTATGTATCCAGCCAACCAGAACTGTGGTAAACGTTCTAACATTTGGAAAATGGCTGCTTCAGAAACACATTAACACTCAATCATTTTTAACTTGTCAAAATATGAAATTCATTGGCTGTTAATAAAGCTACCTAAAAAGCTACTAAGGCTAAATGAAAAGAAGCCCCAATGACGGTAAGTCTGGAAGATAGAAAATCACCCTGTGACTTACTGTTAACCACTGGCTGTCGAGGAGCTCCTTGGCTGTGATTCTGTGAGCAGGATCTACCTTCGTAAGCTGCCTCAAAACACTTTTAGCTGCAAATAAGGGCAAATATTGAAAATCTCATCTGTCTTATTTACAATTAATATGTATTTTCTGATTTATTTAGAACTAATCTATACAACATAAAAGAGAAGTACCAATTATAAGTATTAGCAAAAAATACCTAATAAATAAAGATGAATGTCTAAAGTGAAGATTTTTTCTTGTTAAAAATTAATTTGTTACATTTTTTTTGTATATCATGTTTTGTTTTCGTTTTTATTGGAAAGTCATATTTATGGAGAGAAGGGGAGACTGAGAGAAAGACCTTCCATCTACTGGTTCACTCCCCAAGTGCCCACAGTGGCCTGAGCTGAGTCAATTCAAATCCAGGAACCAGGAGCCTGCTCCAGATCTCCTGCAGGTGCAGGGTCCCAAGGTTTTGAGCTATTCTCCACTGCTTTCCCTGGCCACAGGCAGGGAGCTGGATGAAAAGTGGAGCAGCTGGGACTCGAACTAGCATTCATATGGGATTATAGTGCATGCAAGGTAAGGACTTTAGCCATTAGGCTATCACACTGGGCCCAAGTTTTTTTTTCTTTTAATATTTATTTGTTTGGAAAGCAGAATGACAGGGAGGGGGAGAGGAAGAGAGAGGAAGAGAGAGAGAGAGAGAGAGACAGAGAGAGAGAGAGAGAGAGAGAGAGAGAGAGATACAGCATTCACTGGTCCACCTTCCAAAAAGATCCCAATAGTTAGGACTGGGCCAGGATGAATGCAGGAATCAGAACCTTCAGCCAGGTCACATGGGTGACTGAGACCCCAGCACCTTGGCCCTCTGCCACTGTCTTGCCAGTTGCAGTACCTGGAAGTAGAGTAGAAGCTGGTGCTCGAATCAGAACTCCAGCATGGGACGCGAGCAGCACCTTAACCTACTGCAACACAACGCCAGCCCCTAAAGTGAAGCTTTATTTTCTAGATTACCTAGTTTATCGGTTTATGGTACAAGTTAGCTAGTGATGAGTAAATTCACTTTTAATTATAACTGTGTATTTTTTTGGTTTTGTGTAGATTTTTCACTAACAACAATCACAGTGAAGATTCTCTGTTTCTACAAGTAAACAGTGTTCATTTCTGGGGCCAACATTATGGCAACATGGTTTAAGCCACTGCCTGAGAGACCAGCATCCCAAGTGGACACAAGTTTGAATGCAGGCTGCTCCACTTTTGATCCAGCTCCTTGCAAATGTGCCTGCTAAGGCAGGAAAGACGACTTGAGTGCTTGGGTCCCTGCCAACCATATAGGAGACAACCTGGCTCAGCCCTGCCATTGTGGCTAACTGGGGAATCAATGAGGCAATGGCAAATAGCTGTGCGAGTTCTTTCTGCCTCTTCCTCTCTCTGTAGCTCTATGTTTCAAATAAGTAGATATAGATAGATAAATATTTTTAAAATAGTCTTTAATTCCATAAGTAAATCTGATGACCAACCAGAGATTTAAAACATTGAAATTACTAGCCAACCTTGTTCTGTTTCTTACATTTTCCTTGGTAAGTTATTAAAGAACCTTACACTCACCATTTTCACTCACAGAATCCCAGACTGGATCTTCAAAGCGTAGTTCCCCCTTTCTTATTAACTCAAAAAGCTTTTCTTCTGAGCTTGCCATAAAGGGTGGGTCTCCACATAATCTACAACAAAGGCAATCAGTTTATTTAAATTTAAAAAGTCAGCACAAGGTTATGTATTAAAACTCGAGTTTCCACAGGACTTGGAATAGTGGTGCTTGGTGTTTAAATAATGGGTAAGAAGAGATGGGAACCTCCCTGGCTATGAAAATGGCAGCAACAGCATCTTCCAAGGTGAGCGCTAGGCTCTTGTCTCAAAATTGGAAGAAATGACCAAGTAGAGGAAGTACAAGAGTACTCCCAAAAGTTTGTGGAAAAATGGAATTAAATGCATTTTGGTGCAAAAATTTTCAAATCCACGCATTCTTGGAATCTGCAAAAGTTCATAAAACATTTTTTAAAAACTGAAATGGATTTAAAAATTTTTGTACCAATATAAACTTACCTTTTAATTTCATTTTTCCATGAACATATATCCTCATACACATTTTATCTTTTTTTTAAAAGATTTATTTTTTTATTGGAAAGGCAGATAAACAGAGAGGAGAAACAGAAAAGATCTTTTGTCCAATGATTCACTCCCCAAGTGACTGCAACGGCTGGAGCCAAGCCAGTCCAAAGCCAGGAGTCAGGAGCTCTTTCAGGTCTCCCATGCCGGTGCAGGGTCCCAAGGTGTTGGGCTGTCCTCAACTGCCTTCCCAGGCCACAAGCAGGGAGCTGGATGGGAAGCAGGGCCGCTGGGAACTGGCAACCATATGGGATTGGGCCCCCCTCAATGTGAGGACCTCAATCTCTACCCCATCATGCTATCTCGAAACCTTCAGATTCATAAATGATCCAATATTCTTCCAGGTAGGAATATACTATGCTTAAATGGACTTAAATACAGGAAAGTGTGTGAATTTAAATGTACAATGACAGTGGCAGTTAACAGGAGAGAGACACTTGTGTGTGAGCAGGGGTAAGAAAATGACGTAATGCAAATTGGATTTTCAGAAAAATGAACCATCTTCACTCTAATGATCACATAATAATTTTACACATGATAAAACACTGTATTAGTATTAATATAACATATAATACACTGTATTAGTAATTTAAGATTTACAGAAAGAGAAGGAGAGCAAAGAGAAAGATTGTGCAAGCACTAGTTCACTCCCCAAACGGCTACACTGGCTGGAACTGGGGGAATCTAAGAGCAGGAGTCCAGAGCTTGTCCAGGACTCCCAAGGGGGTCCAGGGGCCCAAGAAGTAAGACCATCCTCTCTGCTGCTTTCCCAGTGCATTAGGAGGGATCTGAATGGGAAGTGGAGCAGCCAGGACTTGGACCAGTGCCTGCACTGCAGGCGAAGGCTTAATTTATTCTGCTACAGCACTGGCTTCACCTGAGAATTTTTATAGGCTCTCTGTCAAAGCCCCAGCCAATGGTCAATGGTACACACAATGAAAAAGACCCAGATGAAAAAACTGAAATAATGACTTTGTCCTTCATCCTAAAAGGGTGAAAGCTGAGTATCCATAACAAGCATCAGTTAAAACACGAGCAGTGTATACAAAGTACATACAGGCTTGTTTACAGTCTCTATAATACAGGAACTATTTGTAGGGTCTTTTTTCTAGATTTAACAATGGGAATACATTTTGCATATTTTACATATACAGTTTTATGAGCATAATTGTATTTTCCACTGCATCCTCCCTCTTCTCTCCCCACCTCACTTACCTAACAGAACATGCCAAGTCTATGACACTAATGCTTCAACAGGCAATCTAGGTGAAAACTACAAGGGCATGCTTAAACGCTGAGTTCAGCTCTTTGTAATCCACTCTCCATCACCACTGTGCTCAGCCTCAGCACCGAGGGCTAGCCTCCAGCCAACATCGAGACCTGCCCACTGACTACCAGACAAGCTGGACCTACATTTATCACAGAGGTAGTCTATTTCCAACACTCAGCATTATATTTTCCTACTTTATTGTTGAAAGAATAAAACAGCATAACTATAGTTCACGTCTCAGACTGCAGGTTAACTAAATACATAAGGACAACAATCTCAAAGTCTTTTGACAGCTACATTTTTACTTATTTTTTTTTTTACACTTTTCTTTCTAAAAATCTTATTCACAGATATCCTCTGGATAAGCCAAAGTTTGATAAATACTTTCCATGCTGCTGTTGATTATGACTTTCACGCAGTCCGTCAAAGCAGACTGGAAATAGGAGCTTTTAATTTGCCAACAGATTCCCGTTAAGAGGTCAGCATTTATGGAAGTCTTCTATGAACTCTCATTTCAACACTTTTTGTTTCTCTATATCATTCTGATCTCCTTCTCTCTCATCTTACCCATGATCTTTTTGCTATTGTTTAGCTTTAAAATGCAATAAAAACAGTCATAAAATACAAAAAAGCCAGAAACACGGCCCTGTGGACAATTACTATCTAATATCACAAGCAAAGCCCAGGAGCCCAGTTCACTGAGCCTGTTATCACCCGGTGCTATGCACATCCACCAATTTCTTAGCTGTCTCTGCACTGCCAGATGAGTTTCCAACTATAGCTTAAGGGCTACATTTAAAAAATTCCACTTTTTTTCTGTCCTTTGCAATTTTATTTACAAAAAAAAATGTACTTAATGGTTGGTCAATCAGCAGCATGTGAAATTTTATGACAGTAATTTGATGCACATCCAGAAAAGGGAACCCAAGACATGAAAAGTGCCTCTTGAAGCCTTCCTATTATTTTCCATTGCACTCTCAGGATTCAAAAACAGCGGACGACAGTAACCATAAAGGGCACTCCTATATGTTGATCTCACCCTCGGAAAGTATGTTATCACTTTCCAATTGTAGAAATGAATCAGAAGGGTCCGATCATGAACAACAACAAAAAGATAGCACCCCTAGAGGAGACAGGAGATAAGGCTGGACTCTTGGTGAGTAAAACTCTAACACTGCCGGGCCCAGGCTAACGAACAGGCTCTGGTCACCTGGGCAGACGTCAGGATGAGGACACGCAGCCACCCTCTAAAGCAGAAGAATTAATTTTACCTTTGAGAAAAAGAATTTCAAGAAATGGAATATACTCATTTTCCCTATCAACAACTTTGAATGGAGAAGTGAAAAACACCAACATGAGTTGTCTAATATTATATTTGACTTGTGTTGTCTGGAAGGTCTTGGAAATAATAAAAAAAATACCTAAAAGTTGTATTTTAATTAAAGATAAAGGCTCAGAATTTTTAGACAATGATTTCAATTATCACAGACAAGATAGAAAAATTGTAACTACATTTATACTTGAAACAATTTAAGCAATGATGTGTGTTAGCCAGCTGAGTAACAGCTACAATCACATCATACAAATTCTACTGTCTATATATTCCATTTCACAGAGCTGTGAAAATGTGACTTCTGTGATGTCGATATTTAGAAGCGATCTGGAAGAGGTAGTACATAGTGAAATCTTCAATATGACCATAAAACTAATGTAGCATCAATACAAAAATGTTCTTATTCACCAAGAGGCAGAACAACGGTCACTAACTTTTCAGAACATCTCTTAGACAATTCACTTAATTCAATTTAACAAACATATTGAGCACCAAATATGTCCCTACTGTTGATTGTATCACATAGCAGAGATGCACACATGAATAGCCTAAGACCTCTGTCCTTCATGGGATTTGGGGTAGGAATAGAAATCTATGATTTAATCTAGTTTAAACACTATTACTGCTCACACAGAAAAAAAAAGTAACGAGCAATGAATTCTATCAAATTTACATATGTACAAATCTTGTTCTAAATATTTCATTTTACTATTCTTTCTTTCAAGATTCCTGTCTAGAATGAATTTTGGTATATGGGCTTAAATCCTCCACTTAATAGGAGGAAAAAAAATACATAGTAAATGTAATAACTGCTAGAGTAGGGTAGCAGGTAGGAAAATAAAGAAATTAGGAGAGAGATTTATAGAGGAGAAAAGGAACATACACGCCCCAGAGTCATGAAATGCTGAGTGTGTCTGAGTAACGAAGAGTGTCCCGGAGTCACCACGACGCAAGGCAGGTGCTCGGCAAGACACTTCCAGCTGGTGACTGGAGAGGCCTTGCCAAGTCAGGAGGCGCTGATATTTTGCCATGGCCAGGAATAATTATCAGGGTTTTTTAATTAGCAAAGTAGTACGACCAGATTTGTTACTTAGAAAGACAATTCTGGCAGCAGTGTGAAGGATGAAGAGGAAGAGGATGACCAGAGGCTGGGAGAACAGTGAGAATCATTTAGAAATGTTCTAGAAAAAGAGTAAGCGAAACCACTTAGAAGAACAGGCAGGACATGGGCTTGACTGAGACTTGAGTGGCAGGCAAGGAAGACCATGAATAACTGACATTCTCCACAGCATTAAGAGAATGCCCCCTAGATGCTGAATCTCTCCCTGGCCTGTGCCCACTTCCCACATATGCCTTGTCTACTCTGGCACCTCCAGTACCAGGGCACAGCACCTCCCTAATTGATGAGCTACCCGGTCAATCTCCTGAGAAAACACAAGGAGGTTTTCAGCAAGATGTTCAGGACAATTTTTCAGTTTACTCAGATCATACAGTGCGTCGCTACATTTACAAACCAATGAAAAGCAAAGCTGCAGGTTATAAATTTTTACAGTATAAAAAAAATTCTAAGGGATGTAGCTACAATTACTTCCGAATTGGTTTTTAGATCACTTTCTAAAAAAATATATATTGCTTAACTTTAATCTGAGATCTATGTCATCAAACTGTCAGAGACCATTCGTTCATTTCAAAGTGTACATTTAGCAGGCTACTTACAACATGTACATTATGACACCTATGCTCCAAATGTCACACTGCTGGCTATAGTCGTGGGCATTGATAACTTCAGGGGCTGCCAAACAAGCAGAAATAAAATAGCATTAATAATACAATAAATGACTTCTAAATGCTTAAACACAAAGCATAAAAAAATGTGCTGATAGGTTGTAATTTATTCCCTACAGGGGAAAAAAAGAACCAACAGCAGATGTTAAATGAATAATGTACCGGCCTTAACAATTGATGTCACTGTGTCCGCTCGCCTATCATTTAGCTTCTAATGGAATGATGGCATAAATTATGTAACTACATGTACTATTCCTCATTCCTTTGAAATCGTTTTAAAAAGTTCCTTGCAAAGATTCTGTTGTTACAGTAGAAGAAACAATAAAGATATTCTTTCATGCCTTAAGCAGATGCAATTTAAAGCAAGGCCAAAGCGTGGAAATCTTGATTCATAGAAAAACTAAGATAAATGATGATAAATCACTTCAGCATAACAACAACAACAACAACCCAGTACTCCTATGAAATGGCTTAAACTATTTTCCACATTTTCTAAATGAGAAAGACTAAGACAAAGAGCGACCTCCCACATGACTGCATAAGGCGGCAGTCACAGACGGTCTCAGGCCTAGCATCCGAGTCTTCCTGGCACCTCAACTCTGTGCTCATTGCTGTACAAAAGTGTTCAAAAGTAGGGCTCCTTTAAGCAATAATCTCAAAAAGTTGCGCTTTTTTTTTTTTAAAAAAACTTTAAGGGAGTACATTTTAGTTATTTTATTTTCTCATAAAGGCTAGTTTTTTAAAGCCATATACCATACTGGAGGAACACAGCTATGGAATCTCACAGCTAGAATCAGATATCCTTATTGAAAAAAAAAAAGCTATAAACATAAGAATTTATATATTCCACTATAACTACAGAATCCATATATCATTTTGCTCAAGTTGCATTGTTAATTATGTGAGCTATATATGCAGGCATTTGATTCCTTTTGTCAATGAGCTAAAGTTCCTAATATGTTAAGTGACTTGGCCGAAGTTTCACAGCCACAGAGGGCCTCCCATATACAACAGGCAGGTTCAGGTCTTTATTTTAGAAACCATTTCCTCTTTTAAAATTATAAAAAATGCATCATGATACAGTTCCATAGGCACAGGGATTTCGCCCTTCCATGTTCCTTCCCCCATTGATTTCTCCTATATCAGTACAATACTGTGATCCTTCAGCAGCAGTCACAAGTCCAACATTCTGCTATGTAAGTGTGTCACAATGTTGTACATATGGACAAGGGCAGACAGTCTAGTATTCTGCTGTCAAGATATAACAACACTTTCATGGGATTCCTCCTTTCATTCGGAAGTAAGGCTGCGTACTGCAGTGCTAATCTCCCCCTCTCACACCTTGCACACAACCACACACACACACACATTTTATAACTAATACAAAAGGGACTTCACTTCTCTTCTCCCCTCTGCCGATTATTAAAGGCAAAGAAACAGCAACAAAATTACAAGGTAAACAGAAGAAAGAATGAAGAAGGTCAATCTTCAGATAATTAACCCGAATGCTTTTTCTCCACATGATTGATATTTCCCTGTAAGAAACTACTGAAATTCTTTAATTCTACTTAGAATCTAACTATGGAATGTTCAGGTTGTCCTGTGCCTGAGACTGGGCGAAGGAGTCCGCACTGGAGCATCCCACAGCAGGGGCGAGGAATTCCTGCTTCCCCCTCTTTCAGAATCTTAATTATCAGGAGCACTTCTATTTGCACTGTCATTCCAGCCCTCACAGGGAGGCAGAAGCCAGGATCACTGTGCCAAGGAGCCATTTAGGAAGTCAGGAAAGCTCCACAAACCATCTGCCTTCCCTCTTGTTCTCTCACTTGTTATCAATGTAGACAACTAATAAGCAGGCATAAAACTCTGGGTGCTTGGATATATTTTCCCTGCGTAACTACAGACCAGATGTCTTTTGCCAACAGAGGGATATGAACAGAATCTAAAGTAGTCTTTTTCCAAATAAGACAAAACAATTTCAATACTTTATGCATTGAGGAGGGGAAAAAAAGCCATACTCCTCAGCAATAAAAATGAATAAACTACACATACAACAACATGGGTAAGTCTCAAAGTCATTATGTGGAACAGAAGGCAGACATAAAAGACAGACAGATCATTTGATGACATAAACTTCTACACAAGCAAAGCTGAGGTGTGGTGACAGGAATTATCAGTGGTTGCTGGGGTTTAGCCGGGGAAGAGTCCCAGAGGAACTTTCTAGGGTGATAGAAATATTTGATATCTCCTCTACTGTGGTGATTACACAAGTACATGCACCTGTCAAACTCAGAGATCTTTACATGTGATGTGTAGTTTTATTGTAGATAAACTGCATTTCTATATTGTATCTCTAGAAATATACTAGAAATATAAAAAGAAATCGTCAAAGTCTCATCTTGGTGGATGAATTCACCAAGAGATTAAGAGAAGCAGTGAATAAAAACACATTAATATGAAGAGGTCTAATCACAAAAGTGTCATATTTGATTCAATAAGCATATGCAGAGAAAGTTTTATGCTCAAAGAATTGGGCAAACACACTTTTAAAACACCAATGCAACATTTGCAAGAACTGGGCATGTGTTCATCACAATGAAAATTCCTAAAGTTTTAAAAATTTCATGACATACTCACACACTATAATGAAGAAAATCAGACAGAGAATAAAACAGCTAGGGAACTAACCTTCATTCACTTGAGCTTTAAACACACTGCAACCACCTGGTAAAGTCTTCAATTACTTTTAAATAATGTTTGGATTAAACAGTAAGACTAAAACTAAAATCATCACATAGTAAGAGATGGATCACAGGCTTCTAGAACACTAGGTACACTAGAAAACAAATGCTCAAGATGCTCAGAGGAAAATACACTTACTAGAAAGTAAGACTGGAAATAAACATTCAATTCTTGGAACTTTGGAAGTAAACAAAAAGGAAGAAGGAAAAAGCTAATTCAGAGACAAAAGCAGTAAACGATGGTTCTTGACAAACCCAGTAAAATATTTTAAACACTAGCAAACTCAACCAAGAAAAAAAAAATAGTATTCTTACAGTAAAAGCCTAAAATTGGGTACTAAGTGCTAGGCATCGTGCTAATGTACTATACATCTTCGTATGTAATTCTCACATCAACCTAATAAGGAAGATTGCATTATTACTCTAAACAGTTCCCACCACCCACTTTAATTTTTCATGCTCAGCATTCTAACATATCAGAGACTTTCATGTCATGCCACTGGAATGTTAAGCTATATAAAGGCAAGCCATTTATATGTTTTTTTCCCCTGAGGCTATACTCCCAATTGCTATTTGATACAGAATAGACCTTTACAATTTTTAGATAAATGCATGACTTTCTCTTAATTAAACAGATGTAGAAATTGTGAAAAAAAAAAGAGCAGATAACAAGCGCAGAATTATAATCCTGAGTTATAGTCAAGAGACTTCAGAGTTCATACCAGTAATTCCATATGCTATCCCCTAAGAAAATTAGGAGTTAATATGGGAATATAATCACAGAATTAGACAATTATATAAACAAATTTAGAATCTCAGCAAATTGGGAAAATTTCTAGGAAAGTATAAATTATTACAATGATTCTAAAAGATGTAGGAAATGTGAAAAATCTATTATAAACTGAAAATTACAAAAAACCAGTTTATCCCCTAAAGGGTATGAAAATCAAATAATTTCAAGAGGAAATTTCAGATTACCAATGAACAGTGTCTACTGTTCAAAAGGCTTTTTTTGTTTTTTGTTTTTTAAATGAGACCAGCATAATTGTAACACCTAAAAAGACAGCAAGCATGGAAAAGAGCAGGCTGCAGGTCAAAGTTAATTAAGTGGTAGCTGTATATGAAACCAGGCAGGTTTTGATTCACAAGTGCAAGGAAGATTCAACATTGTATCACTTCATGAATGAATTGACAGAAAAAATGTCATCTCAGTAAGTACAAGTCTGAGTAGACGTTTCAACAGAAAAAAATACACAAATGACTAGCAATCAGAGAAGATGCTTTAGGTCTTTAAAATAACTAGGGAAATGCAAACTGGAAACTATAATGAAATATTAACTCATTCCCATTAGGACGGCATTAACTAAAAAGAAAGATCAAGAGTTGGCAAGGATGTGAAGAAACTAGAATCCTTATGCATTGCTGCTGAGGAGGTAAGAGTCACTTTGCAAAACAGCTTGGCAGTTCCTTAAAAAGCTAAGCATAAACTTAATATATGGTCCAGTAATTTCATCATTAATGTATGACCCAACTATACAAGAGAAAAAATGAAACCAAATGTTCTCACAAAGAATGTTCACAGTAAGGTTGTTCATAATAGCCCCAAACTAGAAACAACTCAATGTCCATCAGCTAAGAAATGGATAAACCAAAGGTGGCATATCCAGCAGTGAACAATTCAGCAATATAAGGGAACAGACTACAGACAGATGCTACAATAGGGACAGAAGCATAAGTGAAAGCAAGCCAGATAGAAGAAATTATACAACAGATGAAACCATTCATATGAAATGTTCAGGAAAAGACAATCTACAGCAGTTTTTTTTTTTTAAAAGGCAAACAAGAAGTGGGGGAAAAAAAGGTATATTTGGAGATATTAACAGATGCCTACAATATTAATGAGTGCGAGGCAATGAGGATAAGGCAGTCTTTCGGAACCTGCAGAGGGTACCTGGCACCACAATGGAGGACAGAACAAATCAATCAACTACCCCAGCCATATGTTGGCAGTGAAAACTGGGCAAACGGAGACTTTAAGGTGACTATGTCAATCAGTGGATTCTGCAATGACCTCATCGTGCTTGGAATGGCAAGACTGGCAACAATTCACAACTGGTGAACTATCAAAACCACTTGAGAAAGACCCACGGAGCATGCCCCACATCAGGGATGGATGGGTGGGAGACTGGGTGGGGCTTCTCCCTTTATCTCCCCCTTAACCCCAGATAAAGGGAAAAAATGTGGAAATAACAGTCTTGCCTACTTTCCTGTAGCCCTTGAACCTTTGTGCCTAATTAAGTAAAGAATGTAAAAAAAAAAAAAAAGGGAAAAAATGAATGTGAGGAATCATTTTTGGGATAGACTTGTCTTAAGCTGGGTTGTGGTAATGGTCGCACAACTCTGTATGAAAGATCAGTGAATTGTACAACCTTTAGCGCATTTCAGCTAAATTCCAATAAAGCTATTAACATTCGTATTTTAAAAATGAGAAACTGTTGCTTTACATAATAAATTTAATCAGCGCCTTTGATCAAGCATTTTTTGGTGGCAACAAAATTGGATGAAAAATGCAAGAAAACAAAACACATAATTTTAGCAAAACTTAAAAAAAACAACAGTTAAGTTTAAGATTTGATTACTTAAGAGATAAAAAGCAACTTTAAAAAGAGGTCAGGGCCTGGCACAGTTGTCTAGCAGTTAAAATTCTCACCTTGGGGCCCGGCGCGGTGGCGCAAGTGGTTAAAGGTCCTCACCTTGCCGCCCGGGATCCCATATGGGCACCGGTTCTAATCCCGGCAGCCCCGCTTCCCTTCCAGCTCCCTGCCTGTGGCCTGGGAAAGCAGCAGAGGACGGCCCAAAGCCTTGGGAACCTGCACCCGTGTGGGAGACCCGGAAGAGGCTCCTGGCTTCGGATCGGCATAGTATCGGCCCGTTGCGCTCACTTGGGGAGTGAATCATCGGACGGAAGATCTTCCTCTCTGTCTCTCCTCTCTGTATATCTGCCTTTCCAATGAAAAAAAAAATAATAATAAAAATAAATCTTTAAAAAAAAAAAAATTCTCACCTTGGGCGTGCTGGGATCTCATATAGGTGCTGGTTCTAATCCCGGCTGCCCAGCTTTCCTGTCCAGCTCCCTGTTTGTGGCTTGGGAAAGCAGTGGAGGATGGCCCATTGGGATCCTGCACCTGTGTGGGAGACCTGGAGGTTGCTCCTGGCTCCTGGTTTCAGACTGGTGCAGTGCCAGCCATTGTGGTCATTTGCGGAGTGAACCATTGGACAGAGAATATTGCTCTTAGTCTCTCCTCCTCTCTATATATCTGACTTAGCAATAAAAATAAAAAGTTTTTTTAAAAAAGAGGCCAGACTTTTTAAAAAATGTTTTCATGACTTGTTGCTACATGACAATTCAAAATTGCTTACTAAGTTTTGGTAGAAATGAACTTTCTGGGGGGTAAGAAATAATTCTAAGTCAACATATGGAAATTTAAAACTTAAAGAGCAGGGCTAGAATTAATGGCTATAGCTCAAATGGACATCTGTGATGCCAGCATCCCATCTGAATGCCAATTTGAGTCACCAGCTGCTCCATTTTTGAGCCAGCTTCCTGCTGACATGCCTAGAACAATAGCAGCAGAAGGCCCGAATACAGACTCCTGGGAATCTCGTGGGAGACTCAGATGGACTCTAGATTCCTGACTTGGGACTGCCCCAGCTCCAACCATCACTGTCAGCTGGGGAGTGAACCAGCAGGTAGAATACCACTTTTCTCTCTGTTTCTGTCTTTCTTTTGCTAACTGTGCATTTCAAATAAATAAAACTAGAATTTGGTCCATTAATAAAAGAAGAGGCCAGAGAAAGAACAAAAATTCCTAAAATCTTTGAAAGTACCGACAGAGAAAAATGCTAGAACCAATGAAATTTATTGACCTAGGAAGAGAAAAAGCAGCTCAATCAAGGGCCATTTGTTCAAATTGTAATCTGTGTGTTATTCTGACATTCTATTTAAAGCACCATTTTAAGATGATGAACTTACCCATATAGATGGGAGTTCCACATGTGGTCTGCATCATGGCTTCACTCCTGCCCTGCTTCTTCACTGCCAAGCCAAAATCAGTCACCTAGGAGAAGACATTTAGTTATTGGGTCTCCTCCCCACAGCTCATTTGCTCTGCAGACAGGATGTACACCTCACTGTAATTGTAATTAATTCAGCTCTTGGTAGGCCAAGGAGAAACTGACTTGTATGCTAGTAAAGATCTTGCTCATTCCCTCCTCTGCTGCCCCACTTCCTTCCTGACTGTAAAGGGAAATCTGGTAACCAAAAACTTGGTTTCTCAGGTCTTGAGAGAAAACCATAAAGCTGATTATTCATGCTTTATAATTTAAACCAACAGTTCAAAATAGGAAGCTGTATATTGAAAGAAAGCATTTAACTTTTCCAGATAACAAAATTGTTTTTTTTTTAAAAAAAACTTTTCACTATAAACTACGTTATTGCCTTACTATACTTATCTATTTTTCTGAACCTCAAGTTACATTCCAGTTTGAAGCAGTTATAGATGGAAATAATTATCCTTATCAGCACTCACTGAAAAGCCCCCTTTTGACAATTATTCATAATGGTAAACAGTATCCTTTCTGTGCTATTATTTCCTTTTGTTTTTCAAGAGTATACTAATTTGAACAACCATTACACTATTTAGACAGGAAAACCCCCATAGCAGCATGGTATAGCTGCAAATGCACGGAGAGGGCAGCTGCTCGTGTGCCTGCTGCCTTCCTGCTCCAAATCCTCCTCACACATATGCTTACTGAGTATTCCTTCTATGCTCTTGCACTTGTTGCCCAAGTTGGAACACCCTTGAGCTTAGAGCAGAGAAACATCCTCCTTCATTGATCATACAACCAAATACAAAGCCTTGGTCCACCCACACTGAACAGTTTCCAGTGCCTTAAGGAGTAAGAAAAGGTTCCATTTATTATGTGACATTATTAGTTTTCTAAGTAGGTAAATCCATTTCCCTAAGAGCTTTCATGAATGGCTCACTTGGAGAATCAGGAGATGGATCTTTCCCTACAGAAAATGAATACAAGTGTCAGATATTTTTAAGTTTCATAATTTAGGTTAGTGTTTGTGGGGTATCCATCTCCTCATTAACCAAATATTAAGTGGGTACATTCTAGATTCCAGACTCTGTTCCAAGTACCAGTGGTGAATAAGACAGACACAACCTCTGTCCTCATAGAGCTACAATAGAACTACAGAGAACACTTCCTGCAATAGCCAACAGTTGTGTTAAATGCACTTATGATACACAGGGGTTCAGCATCCGCGACAAAGTGAGCTATTCACAGAGAACATCTTATTCTGAAACAAACCTATTCGTACATTTTGAAAGCAACCGCTATTACAGTGGTAATTACTAAATAACGTATCCTGTCATTTGGTTAACATTAAGAAACATCTGAAAAAAATCTTCAAGAATAAATGCATGACATGTTAATTGTGCTTAGGGTATAAATATTAATACCCAGGAAAATTTTCAATGAGAAATAAAGACTTCAGAATTAATTTAGTATCAGAAAACAGTCAAGGTGTGTGTTTTTCTCTTAATCTGAAGCACACTTGCATTAAATTACCAGGCATAATGTAGAAATTAATTAGACTTCCAAGCATCTGCTTGCTTGCTATGAAATAATGATTTGGAACTATCCAAATGAATATGTACTTAAAAAACATTTAATAGCAATATTTAATTTGTAAAATTATTATTGTCAAAAAATCATTATTGTCAGTACAACCTCTTCTACGAAATTTTTAATTTTTAGCACAAGTCACTTATTTTCTGGCTGTTCAAAAGCTAACAAGGGTATCTAGAAGAGGATATATGTTACCATTTGCTATCAAACTGCTCACATGCAAATATTTATCACTAATTCTAATATCTTACCTTTATATTTAATCTCATTTCATTGTTGGCATCAATAAAGCTGCTTTTAACCATTATGTTTTCCAGTTTTAGATCTCTATGTACTATATCTACCACGGAAATAAACAAGTCAAATCAAATGAATAATTAAAAAATAGAGAAGACAACAAATAGAACAAAAACATCTATTTGACAAATTAATACTCACACTTAAGGAGGGCAAAGTATAATTCTGTCCTACCCCACTCTTCGCTTTGCAAACCTCTTTCCCACATTACCAACTTAGAGAACCGATCTCTTTGACTTCCTCATCTCTACACAGCCTCCTGCTGCCCCGGCCAGCTTCACAATGAATGTGGCCTGGTCCAAGTGCAGGAACACCCAAAGTTACGTAAGACCACCTAGGGGAGACAACATCTGCCCAGAGCTAAGTAAGGTTTCCGTATCCTCAGGACTCCAAACACACGGTTACACCTTCGTTTCCACGTACATGCTTACTATCAACGCAACCATGTTAGCACACCGTAACTCGGCTGCAACTATACAAGCTATATTTACCTTAGCATGTTCTCCTATACCATTAGCACACCTGGCTCCCTTCTCTGTAGGTAAAATAAAACAACTCCCCACCCCTAAAATCCTTGAGACACAAAGTCTTCGGTGGCGCCTGCCAGAGAGCTCAGGCAGGAGTTTCGTGAATGTGCAGATAGTTATTAACCACATATTTCCTGAGGAAATACAGTTCATAGCTTCATATCCATGGCAATCATCTTCCTGGACGTATGTGCAATTGCCAGAAAAATAAAACATTTCAAACCCTAACACTGACAATCCTATCAAACCATCCGAACTTTCCTTATACAGTGACTAGGCTTACCTTTGGGAATTTTTATAGCAGTTATTGCTGCATTTCTCTTTTTACATAAATACCACATGGTATTTAATAACTCATATTTATTATATGTTTTCATCCTTGGTACAGCAAGTCTTCCTAATACCTCCTTTGTTCTTTTTTTATTGTCTTGGCTATTTCCCATTTTTGAATAATCTTATCAAATTTCATGAAAAATGTTAACATTTTGTTTGGAACTATAATGAGTTTATGGGAGGACTGACATTGACACTATGTTAAGTGTTAGAAAAATGATTTTCCTCTTCTTGGAAAATCCTCCTTTTCTCATCTGTATTTGTACTCCTCGGACTAGACTTCTGTGAATTCTTCCCCTGGGTTTGAAACCTGTAAGTGTCTCCTGTGTTCCTTGTGCTGTTCACGACTCCCCGTTACAGAAAATGTCCTGTTCGATTATGACTTGTTTTCCATAAGCAAGTTTTTCATTTCTGTGATTGTAGAACCAACCACACAAATGCAGTATCAGGGAATAGCTAAATGAACCAATGGGTCTCAATCCAAAGCCAGGAGCCCAGAGCCTCTTCCAGGTCTCCCACAAGGGTGCAGGGGCCCAAGGCTTTGGGCCATCTTCAGCTGCCTTCCCAGGCCACAGGCAGGGAGCTGGATGAGTAGTAGAGTTACCAGGTTTAGAACCAGTGCCCATATAGGATCCCAGCGCATGAAAGGAGAGGATTTTAGTCACTAGGCCACTGAGCTGGGCCCCCCAATGGTTTTCAACACTAACCCTGTCCCAAATGAAACCACACCACCTTTGTACCTACAGGGGACAAAGTTGTTTCCTCATGTATAAAAATTAAAAGTGTCTAAAGTTATAGGGAAGCCAAAAAATAAAAAGAGAAAAAACAGCAGCAATAACAACAAAATAGCAAAGTAATTTGAATAATCAGACTAAGTTTTGAAATGTGGTCTTAAAATTATTGTGAAACTGCTGATACAATGATGGTGGATAAATGTCATTACATGTTTTCAAAACCCACAGAATGTGGAGTGGATCCTAACGTGAACCATGAACTTCAGGTGACTGCGATGGTCTGTACAGGCTCACTCATGGGACGAGTGCATCACTGTGGAGAGCTGGCTGATGGAGGAAGCTGTGCACACCAGGGAGCTGAGCAATGTGTGCGAGCACCTGTACCCTTTTGCTCTGTTGTTCCACGAATCTACATTTGTTCACGAACATGAACATAAGTTGTCCCATGAACTGATATAAGAATAAATTATATATTCTTAAATGTTATTATTAACAGAAACTATTTTTTGGAAAATGTCACCTTTATCTTATATCTATCTGCTTTTGATTTGGTAATGTTAGTTGCCTTTTTTCTAATTTTCAAACAGAAGCATTCATAACTTCATCCTTGTCTGTGTTCAATGTAATTATATACCTGCCTTATTTCTAATTATAATCATTATGGAAAACAGTACAAAGATTTTTCTGAAAAAAAAAAAAACCAACAACTAAAAATACACCTGCCACATGAGCCAATTATCCCCTTTCCTGGAATACGTCCTCAGGGAATGAAAGCAGTGGTGAGGTGCTTGTGCTCTCAGGTTCACTGTAGTGCTTACTCACAGCAGCAGACGGGAGAGCAGCCCAGGTGCCTACCAACGGATGGCTGGCTAAATAAAGTGTGATATGTACATGCAAAGGAAGACTACTCAGACATAAAAAAGGATGGAATCATCACATTTGCAACAACACAGATGGAACTGCTAAGTAAAATGAGACAAATACCACATTTTCTTTCACATGTGCATATGTATGTATAAAATATGTAGATGCCTTATTTGTTGCATTTATAAATAGCCCTCATTGAATTATACTCCTTATGTAATAATTTTCCATTCTAACCTCATTTTATGATTTTTGTCACAAAGCTCAAATTATATATTAATACATCCATCCCTGCTTCCAAAACATAGTATGAATGTGTATAATATGTGCCTATGAAACAAACAGCAAAATGTTAAAAACTGCTGCATTTATGTGCACTTAAATAAATTCTTTTCTGTACTATTTGAAATATTTTTTAATAAAAAGAAAAAAACCATGCAAATAGAGTTAAAAAGAAGAAAATAGAAAACAACGAAATCAATCTCCTACATTAGCAGATATTACCTAATGTAACTACAAACCCTGAACGCAACACCTTGGGCGCATGCAGGGAGCTGGTCAGTTCGATGCTCCCCGACTTACCCTTATTATGAAGATACACTATAGCCGATGCGAGGCTCTGAATGATCCACCTTGTCTCGTTCTCTGAGAAATGCCCTTTCCTGTCCAGAATTTTTTTGAGTTCTCCATCCTCACAAAGTTCCATCACAAGGTACATTTTCTGATAATGTATATTTAAAGAGAGAAAAAGAGAGCACAAGTGATAAGGCTGTCCTTACCATCTGGGAGCTCACAGCAGAGACACAATTGCAATTTCTTATAAGCGCAAATGGTTCACACTAACCAGGGAACAGCAGCTTCTGCCCCAAAAGGGTTCACCCAGGAGCCACACCAAAGCCAGGTCTGGCATTTGGAATAGGTAATCATGAGCAGAGAATGAGGACAAAGACTCCAAAGTTAGAAATAATGCTTGTTGCTAAAAGAATAGCATTTCCGCAGTTGCGCTGGGAGCATGGTAGGGTGGCAGAGAGGAGCAGAAAGGCTTAAAAGAATAGGTTGGTACCAGGTTGTCTTAAATATCATGCTGAAGAGTGTAAGGGTTTTTTTTTCCTCTCAATATTCAATAAAGAGCCATTGAAGATTTTAAAAATTATATCTAGGATAGATGGTGTATGTGTATGGGGGGAAACTATATGATTCTATCAATTCTGTATTTTTATATGAACACTGCAACGGTGAGGGGAAGGAGGGCTCAACAACATTTTTTATCCATAAAGGCCAAATCCAAAGTAAATCGTTTGGACTTTATAAAGTATATGGTCTCTTTCACAGTCACTCAACTCTACTGCTGTAGCATGCAAGCAGGCATAAACAATGCAACAAAACTTTAAGGATTTGGGCATTTGTATTTCATATAAATTTTTTACATGTCATAAATATTACTCTTTAGCCTTTTACAACCAGTTGAAAGTGTGGGAAACATAGCCTGTGCCATTCAAAATAAGCAGGAGGCCAGATGTGGTTTGCACGTTAAGAATGTTGTCCTTTGTTTACAAAGGTATAAGTGAAGCATGGGAGGGAGACAAGATACAGGAGAAGAAAAAGATGTGGAAAATACGTAGGAGGAGGAAACACTGGAATCTGGTGACTAACGGTGTGGACAGTAAAAAGGCATGGAAGAAACGCCTCTTCCTCATTTGCTGCTCTGTTGAAGCAGAGGAACATTATTTGAGAAATTCTAAGAATCCTCTATTCAGTAAGAAAGATTCATAATCAACTGAAATGCAAAGTCATTTCCATGCACATTAACATTAACACAGAGACTCCCCTCCACACCCCCATTCTAACTCATGTTACTAGATCTTTTGTTATTTTTAAGATGTGGAGTCTGATTCCATTTTTATAAACCACTGTGAAGTCAATCTCTGAGTTCAATCAGTGAGCATGGAAGTACAAGGAGAAACTCAACACCCTTTCTTCCTATGGCCATGGATTCGGATTCATTGACCCTCAAGCTACTTTAAAATTTCAAAAATAACTTCACAGTTTGAAGCATGAATTGCCATTTCAATTGGGACATATTTCATTCCCATTGATGGTATTACAGGGATCACTGGTACACAGGTGATGATGGATGAACTGCAAGAAGTTGCATTAGCAGTGTTTACAATATAAATGGATGGCAATGTAAAAATCAATAAACCTTATAAAACAAGTCTTTTTAAGAAATAATTATCAGAAACAACTGTGTAGGTCTGGAGAGCATTTAACCTCATAAGAAATCACAGCAAAGAATGGATGATTACTACCAATACCATGGCGCAATCTATCAGACAGCCATTTCCATTAATCCTATGATGTCTTCAAAGGCAGGTATGTTACTCAGAATGCTGTTGACTCAGGAGTAGGGAAAAGTCGGTCCTAAAGATCGCATGGGTTCTACCCAGTATAACTTAAAGCAAATAATTAAACTTTTCAGGCTACTTAATTATATCACAGAACAAAGTTCAAAAGCAGTTACAAGAATATTAAAATATCCAATGCCAAATAAAGCAAAATTCACAATGGCTGGCATTTAATAGAAAATTAAAGTTGTGCAAACAAGCACCCAGATATAATCTATAACAAAGGAGAAAAATCAACCAACTGAAACAGACCTAGAAATGACACACACAAAAAACTTAGAGAATAACATTAAAAGTTACTGTAATTATTTTCAAAAGACGAAATACTGACTTTGTAGACAATGTAATATCCAAAGGAGCTCAGAATGTTTGTGAAAAATGTGGTTTGTCAGAAAACTGTGGATTTCAAAAAAAAAAAAAAAAAAGAAAAATTTGCACTAGAACAAACTCACCTGTTAATTTCATTTTCCATGAACTTTTTGAAGTCTCCTGATGTTAGGAAAAAAAAAATCAAATTTCCACTGGAAGAAATGAACAGAACACATAATGCTAAAGAAAAAGAGATTTTTTGAATCTAAAGACACAGCAATAGAAATAGTATAAATAAAACGAGGAGAAAATGATTGAAACAAAATGAACAGAGTATTAGTAAACAACAGGAAGCAATCTAAAATGTGTACTTGGAATTCCCAAAGAGGAGCAGAGAGAGATTCAACAATATTCTGGAAAATAATGGTTAAGAATGTCCTAAATTTATGGAAACCATAAACTGGGAGATCCAAGAACTTCATGAACTCTAAGCACAAGAAACAGGAAGGAAACCGTATCAAGGCACACATAATCACATGGCTTTCACAGAAGACAAAGAACAAAACCACGCTCTGAAAGATGTGGTCTCACTGCCGTCACTGCTCCAAGGGAGGGGAACCATGCTCTTAGCTGTTACTGAGTATGTCTACAACACAAGATCCAAACTATTACTCTCCTAGAGACAGGTACAGGAAATCAAGAAAACTAACTAACATTCAATGGGACAAACACTGTATAGCCAACGCTCCACTGAATCTTTCAACAACTGAATGAGTTCCATACTGTTAGTAAAAACATTTTATACTGATGAAACTAAGGCAAAGAGAAGTTGAGTAGCTTATTCATGGTCTTTCAGTTAATAAGCGGTAGACAGAGGAGTCAAATATGTAATCTGACACCAGAATTCACGTGTCTACTCATTACATTACACAACTACTGCCACTAGAAAAAAAACCTCCAAATACACAACTACCAAACAATCTAGAGACAAAAGACCAAATAATCCAGGTTTTTGAACAACTCTAAACGAAAATCAGAAGTATTTAAAAAGAAGAATAAAATCTAGGGGAGAAAAAAAGATCAATCACATAGGTAAGATACAGTTGATAAAACACTTCCAACGTAGTATCCAAGGTCCCTGTGCCAAATGGATTATGAAGAGGTTTGTGCAAAAGCACAGCACTATTCCAAGAGGCTCTAGTGGAGGACCCAAGGATCAAGCAGAAGGGAAGCCACATTTAAGGAAGCGCAAATCACTGGTTGTGTATGATGCTGTTTTAATTTAAAATATTTGCTTTTAACTGCCACCCAAAATATATTAGTAAAGACATCAATCTAATCATCAGAACCTAATTATATAATCAATAATAAAAGTCCTCCAGAATGCTCTCATCAATCTCCAGTGACTGACTCATGCCAAGGACATGAGAAACTGTCCCCCAAAGGGATTATCTGAGAATGCAATGATATTCATTTTGTGGTAATAATTTTCAGAAAACAACACTCATTAGAGCTTTACCTTGGGTGTCTCAAATACTTGTTCCAGATGTATGATATGTTCATGTCTCACACTTTTTAGGATGTTCACCTCCCGTTCAAGTAACTTTACAGCAGAGCTTCCAGCCTTAATTAATGAAAAACAAACAGATTTCACATGAAAGTATCACTCCTACATTACTCACATTAAAGCTACTGAATAGTTTCTCCTATACTTTTGACAGATTTTTCTTTAAATGATTACTACTTGTTCCACCAGAGACACAGAGAGACAGAGGGGTAGGGGGAGAAGAGACACGAGGGAAAAGGAGTGAGAGAGGATAAGGAAGACATTCCCTTCGGATCCACCTGACCCAAGCTTTAGCTCCTAATATCCAACGCTCACCATGTTGGCCCAAAGGTGAAGGCATGAACGTTCCAAGGAGCACAAGGCCTGTATTCAGGATGGAAGATAGCTGATCGTCCACAATGTCATCAGAGAAATTCTAGAAGGGCTTTCTTATCACAATCATTACTCCTAATATGTTCAAAAGTACCATTATTTGAGGATAAGCACTGTCTTCAATTATGAGTCTTATTTCCACATTAATAAAAAAAAATCCATGAGAGGGATGAGAAATGTCCTGTTACTCCAGTTCTGGCTCCCAACCCCTGCTTCAGTGAGGACACATGCAAGCAGGTGGGAAGAGACTGGTCATATGGCAAACCTGGACCAGTTAAAATTTTACTTATGGCCATTTCTACGTCCAATAACCTGTGCTCTTCAACCTTTATCATGTTAGAGATGAACAGGATACTGACCCCCTCTACTATGCCCCCATCGATGTAGGATTAAAGCCACACTGTAACGGGTCAAAAGAAATAGTGACCACAAAGAGCGAATTCTTCTCTGTGCAAGATATAGAAAGTCATTACTATTATTCCTAATATTCATATCAGTAGCATTTCTCCTCACTTCCGAAATGGCTTGACCAGTATGTAATACAACAATATAATTTTCTAATCATTGTAAAGACTCTAAAATTTCACTTTGCTATATTTTTCTATGAACTTTCAATATCAACAAATACGTGAAAATTATTAATTCTTAAAATGCATGATGAGAAATTATTAATTCTTAAAATTACAAGCAGGTATACTGTTTATAAAACCCTGAATGTTATTTATATAATCCTACATGATACCACAGAAGTAAAGGAAATTATACCACCAGTATACTACATTTGGGGAGTTACCCAGAGTTTAAATCCTAGAGATTTCTAGAAAGTCTCTTGATTACTTTATTTTAAAATATTTGTTTGTTTTTTAGTAGGAAAGCCAAATACACAGAGAGGATAGACAGAAGAGATCTCTCTGCTGGCCCACTCCCAAGTGCCCGCAATGGCTGGAGCCAAGTGGATCCGAAGCCAGAAGCCAGGATTTTCTTCTGGGTTTCCCAACTGGGCAATGCAAGGTGAGAATTTTAGCCACTGAGCAATCACGCTGGGACCTCTTAATTACTTTATTCAAAATATGAATATGCTGGGGCCAGCACAATAGCTCTCAACTGGCTAATACTCCATCTCCAAGCATCGGTATCCTTCTGCGGGCCTGTTTGTACTGCAGCTTGTCTGCTTCTCATCTAACTCCCTGCTTGTGGCCTGGGAAAGCAATGGGGGATGGCCCAAGTCCTTGGGGCCCTGCTCCTACATGAGAGACCTGGAAGAGGCTCCTGGCTCCAGGTTTCAGATAACCTCAGCTCCAGTCATTGTGGCCACTTGGAGAGTGAACCAGTGGATGGAAGATCCTTTATCCATTTCTCCTTTCTGTAAATATGCCTTTCTAATAAAAATAAATATTTGCTTTTTAAAACGATTGATATGCTACTATATTAAGTTTCAGATGGATATTTGCCAGGGTTCCTTTTAAAGAACACATAAAACCTACTGCTTAACTGTAGACACTTAGTACACGTACTTATTGCACCAATTCAAAGGAAAGCAACACGCATTGTCAATTTTTTTCTTCACCAGCCACAGAAAACTTTTAAGTCAATAAATGAACAGGTGTAAGGTCAAAGATCTTAGACTCTAAATCTTAAACAGAAGCTGTTTTCCATTCCATAATGAAATCCAGTAAAGAAGACAGACAGATGGTGGATACAAGTGAATCAGATACTGGACAGCCAGTGAAAAGTGGTTCAAACTGACAGAGCAGATAGGAGGAATAAACAGATAATTAGCTAATGGCGATGATACTGGGAATCAAACATGAGCAGAGAACAGAAAAAAGCATGGCAGAACAACACCAGAAAAGAATTCCAGGCCTTATTCTGGTCAAGGCTTCTCTAGGTCATGACTCTACTATACATTTTGAAAACCAGCCCTTACCCTCAATTCTATGAGCTCAAATCAATTTAGCTGATAATTTTGGTTATGTCAATCCTTTCACTTGCCTTTTTCTTCACAGAAAACATTTGTACACCTGCGTTTCAGAAAAGGTCCCTTGCCAGAAGACTTAAGAATTAAACTTCATGGGCCCGCCGGCGTGGCCTAGCAGTTAAAGTCCTTGCCTTGAATGCCCCGGGATCCCATATGGGCACCGGTTCTAATCCTGGCACCTCCACTTCCCATCCAGCTCCCTGCTTGTGGCCTGGGAAAGCAGTCGAGGATGGCCCAGAACCTTGGGGATACCCAGAAGAAGTTCCTGGATCCTGGCTTCGGATCGGCATAGCATTGGCTGTTATGCTCACCTGGGAGTGAATCATCGGACGAAAGATCTTCCTCTCTGTCTCTCCTCCTCTCTGTATATCTGACTTTCCAAAAAATAAATAAATCTTAAAAAAAGAATGAAACTTGATGGGGTCAGCCCAGGCACTGGCCCTCAGGGTCGCAGCAGACCGTGTTAGTGCGCACACCCACCCTGCACAGGCGCCGCACCCCTACTCAGACGCTGTAATAAGCCTTACCTTTTCCTTATTCACTTTTTTAATTGCCCATTTTGTTTCCGTTTCCTTGTTTGTAGCTTCAACAACCAAGCCAAAGCTCCCTTGTCCCAATACTCTTCCAAAGGTATAGATTTCCTGGCGAAAAAGAAAAAAAGGAAGAGTTGCTTGGTCTTACTCTATTACACTTCAGATGTTAACAATGAATGCCCAGGGTGTGTTTGGTCTAGCAGTCAGGCCATGGTGGAATGTCAGGGTTCAGGCTTTGCTGTTGTTCCCGACTCCAGCTTGCCAGTCAAGCATTCTCCAGAAGTGGAAAGTGGTGGCTCAAATCATTGAGTCTGATCTGCTCAGCTAAGAGATCTGCTCTGAGTGTCTAGCTCCCAGCTTCGGCCACAACTCAGCCTCAGTCATTGCTGGCATTTAGGGAATGAATCACAGGATGAGGAAATGTTCTGTCTCATGCAAATTAAAAAAAAAACCCAAAACGAACAAGTGATATTAACAGATATTCATGCAATGGTAGACATTCTGCTCCATGACAAAAACAAACAAAAACCAAAACACCCCACAAGATAGTACATATTTACTTCAATATTAATAAACATCTTAATCAACACAAAATAAAGTTTAATGAATTTTGTTAAAATGTGCTTTGGAAGAAAAACATTTGGGGGCAGGTGCGGTAGCTTATTAGGTCAATCCTCTGCCTGCAGTGCTGGCATCCCATATGGGAGCTGGTTCTAATCCTGAGTGCTCCACTTTTGATCCAGCTCACTGCTTACAGCCTGGGAAAGCAGCAGAGGACAGTTCAGGTCCTAGGAATCCTGCATCCAATAGGGAGAACAGAAGAAGCTCCTGGTTTCTGGCTTCATATTGGACAGCTCCTGCTATTGCTGTTTTTTGAGAGAATAAACCAGCAGATATCTCTCTGTGTCTCTTCTTCTATCTGCAAATCTGCCTTGCAAATAAAAATAAATGAATTTTAAAAAAAAGAAGCCAAATTTTCCCACAATAGTAAAATGTGGGAAAGCTCAAATGTATAAAAAATACTTTATTTCAAGCTATAATATAAATTAAATTAATTCATAAGAAAAAGGGAGGCTGGACTATTTATACATACATATGGTGTTTCTAAATGTGTGTATTTGTATATATGCAACATTATCACCCCAAAACTGAGAGCCATACTGTAAGATCAACACCCATTAACCACTGAACTAATGCTTAACAAGTAAGCTTCTTCTTTATTTTCACTGTCTCCATTAACTCATGTTTGTTAGCTTATTCAAAAGGCAAAATAAATGCTTTTTTTAAAAAAAGGAACCAGCTTTTGAGTGATATTTCATTTATAAATCTTCTATTCTTTCAAATAACATCTTTAACGTTTAAGTCATTTTGGTTGACATTTCACACACAAGAAACAGTAGTTGAAAATTATAAACGCTAAAAGAATAGTTCCAACATCAATTATGGGTAAGGAGAGCAAGTCAGAATTCCTTCCCCATTTTGACAAAAACAAAAGCAGCTTATTCAATTTTATTCTTTTGAGCCATAGGTCCCATTATTTTTTTGTATGAAACTCTATTTTGTATTTTAAGAAGAAATATGTGAAGAAAGTCATAAGAAAATAACCCATTCATAAAGTCATCATCCAGATCAAGGCCCTTTCTGCTTATTGCTGAACTGTTACTTAAACAGAGAAACTGCATTAGCTTTGCCAACAGCAGCATTCAGGCTCACACTGTAAAATGATAAACATGCAACTCATTTACACTATCACTTCCTGTAGGGCAGAGGAGGACTCAAACCAAGATGCTGGATTAAGTGCTTGCTCCCCCATCTCCAATCCAGCTTCCTGCTAATACATCCAAGAGGCAAGAAACAATGGTCTGAGTGCTTAGGACCCTGACACCTAAGTGGGACATTCAGATGGAGGTCCAGGATCCTGGCTTTGGCCTGTTCCAGCCCTGGCTAAGATAGGTATTTGGGGAATGAATCTATAGACAGAAGATTTCCCCTCACCTCTGACTCTTCAACCTTCAAGTTGGTGAAAATAAATAAAGATTATTAAAAATGATATTGTACGGTAGACACATTGGTGCAGTGGGTTAAGCCACTGTTTGGGATGCTCATATTCATATTAGAGTGTCTTTGGGTTCAAGTCCTACTCTGCTTTCAATCCAGCTTCCAACCAATGCACACCCTGGGAGGCAAAAGATTATGGCTCAGGGATGTGAGAACCTGCTACCCATGTAGGAGACCTTGATGGAGCTTATAGGCCCTTGATGAGGCTTAGGCAGGACCTGGCTCCAGCCACTGTAGCCATCTGGGGGAGTGAAACCAACAGGTGGACGATCTCTCTCTCACTCTCTCTAGCCCCTTGCTCTTTTCTCCTCCATCTTTCTTCCTCTGTAAGCCTTTCAAAATAAACAAAGATGTGTCAGACAGAGAGAGAGAGAGAGAGAGAGAGAGAGGAAGGAAGGAAGGGAGGAAGGAAAGAAGGAAGGAAAGATGGAGGGAAGGAAGGAGAAGAGAGAGAGAAAGGAAGAGAGGGAAAGAGGAAGGAAGGAAATTCAGAGGCCTCAAAGAATAAGATTCTACAGGACTGAATGGAAAAGAAGCTGACAGCCAAAAACAGTGCCAGCAAAACTGTCTTTAAGATATGAGGATATCCTTCAACTTTTAAACTTTTGAGGAAAAACAAGACCTTTATTCAAGAAATGCTAAAGGGAGTTCTTCAAACTAAAGGAAAGAGATATTAATATGTTCAAAGAAAACATTAAAATGTAGAAAACTTACTGGTAAGAATACCTATACATGCAAATTTAAATGCTCTAAAATTGTAAATATGCAGCATAAACTATTCATATCTTTAGTGTGACAACTAAAAAGTTCAAAAAATATAGTAATTACACTAAAGTTTTAAGAGATAAACAGGAGACATAATTGAAGCTACAAAAATTCAAAGTGGGGGGTGGTAAATGTTGTGTTGTAGTGCATAAAGCTGTCACCTGCAGTGTCAATATTGCATATGGGCACATGTTTGAGACCCAATTGCTTCACCTCTAATCCATCTCCTTTCTAACGAGCCTAGGGAAGCATCAAAGGATGGCTCAAGTATGTGGGTCACTACACCCACATGGAAGACCTGGATGGAATTCCTGATGCTTGACTACTGATTAGCCCAACTGCAGCTGTTCTGGCCGTCTGTGGCAAGAGGCAGTGACACAGTATCTCCCTCTCTATCTCTGCCTCTCTCTCCATCTGTAAATACATAAATAAATCTTTAAAATATTCAAGTATGCAGTAATTTAGTATTGTTCCTTACCACTTTGTTTATGTTTATTTCCTTATTTTATAATCACTGCTTAAAATAGCTTATAACCAGAAAAAATTTCTGTAAGCTTCATGGTAACCACAAAGCAAAAACCAATGACAGTCTTATCAAAAATAAGGAACCAAAATACACCACTAAGGAAAATAATGTGACCACAAATGAACTATAAGAGAGGGATTTTAAAAAGAAACAACAGAACTACAAAACAAGAGTTAAAATGGCAGAAGTAAGACCTTAGCTGTCAATAATTACCTGAAACATAAATGAATTAAATTCTCCAATTAAAAGATATAGAATAACTTAATAAATGAGTAAACAAGCAAAACCCAACCATATGCTACTTACAAGAAACTCATTTCACCTCTAACAATGCAGACAGATTGAAAATGAATGGGTGGAACAAGATATTCCTTGCAAACGGAACTCAAAAGAAAGCAGAAATGCTAAAATTCTATAAAACAGATTTCAAATCAAAAGCAATAAAAAGAGACAAGGAAGGTCAATATAAAGTGATAAAAGTTCAGTCTAGTGAGGGGAAATAATAATTGTAAATATGTGTGCACCCAATATTGGAGTACCCTACATAAAGCAAACATTAATAGACCAGAAGGGAGAAAGACTATAATAATGGTAGGGGACTTTAACACTCTACTTTCAGAAACAGACAGATTACAAAGACAGAAAACCAACAAAAAGCAGAATTAAATTACGCCTTAGAACAACTGGACCTAAAAAAAATCTACAGAATATTTCATCCTGCAGCTGCATTGTATTCTTTCCTCTCAATAGCACATATCACATGGCAGGTCACAAAACAAATCTCAACAATTTCTAAGAAATACAAATTGCATAAAGTGTCATTTAAAATTTTTATTTTATTTTAATACTTATTATGTAAGTAAGGGGGTCACAGACCCATGTGGGCCTCCGATTAGGATGGAGAGGGTTGGTTCTCTCATCAACCAGCATGCACAGTGGCCTAGGAGAGGAGACTCTTAAAAAATTGCACTGAGCCTGCCTCCAGCCCAGCTCTTGCCAGCAAGTGCTGCAGTCTAGTCTGGCCTGTCCTGTCCCCAGTCCTGGCTCCACAGCACGAAGTGCTGTGGCCTCGTCAGGCAACCCCAAAAAGCCCTAATTCTGGGAGAAAAAAAAAAGCCCTTCCAGGTGCACCTCAATCCAATTTTTGTGCACATAGGCAGGTGCTGTATACAGCATCTTTTCTAACCACAGTGCAATAAAACCAAAATCAATAACAAGAAAAACTTTAGAACCTACATAAATACATGAAAATTAAGCAACTTACACTTAAACAGCCAATGGACCAAGGGAGATATTAAGGAGAAAAAATTTTTCAATTTCTTGAAATAAATGAAAACAGAAACACAAAATACATAAATCTAAAGGACACAGCAAAATCAGTATTTGATGGAACAAGGTTTTAATACCCATTGACATGTATGAGAGCAGAAGGGAATATGGGACAGATTAGACTAGTCTGCCACACATACTGGCAAACCAGGGTAGGGGGCGGGCCTGGTTGGGATTATTGTGGGTCACTTCAGGTAGGCTGTAGCTCCCACTGGTTTATGTAAGGTCCGAGTATGTGCTGGGCAGAACCAGGCTGGACTGCAAACACCCATTGGTTCCAGAGGAAGACAGGGATGGAAACAGAACCAACCCAGCAACTGCAACCACCAGCTGATGGGGGCGATGGACTGTACTGGGCCCTGTGCTTGCTAGCACATATAAGAGCCTGGTCTGGGAACACCTCAGACAAAGTTTCTTGGGGGATCCCCCCAATCAAGCTTTCGGACTCAGAATGCTAACTATCAAATGACAGAGGACAGAACAAGTCAATCAACCACTTCAGCTATATGTTGGCAATGAAAATACTGGGCAAACAGAGACGCTATCATGGACTATGTTGATCAGTGGAATCTCCAACAACCGCATCGTGCTTGGAGTGGTGAGAGTGGCAGCAATTCAGAACTGTTGAATCATCAGAACCACTTGAGCAAGATCCTCGGAGCACGCCCCACACCAGGGACCTGGGGTGGGTGGGAGACTGGGTGGGAATTCTCCCTTAAAATCTCCTTTTACATCAGATACATTAAGGAAATAATACAGAATAATTGTCTTACCCATAAAAAATTTAAAAAAATAAAAGAAAATAAAAGCAGTATTAAGAGGGAAGGTAAAAATTGCCAATATCAAAAAAGCAATAATTTATAAACATTCTATACATCAAGAAACTAGAAAAATAAGAATGAAAAAAATCCAAAGTTAGTAGAAGCAAATAATAAAACTGGAAGTGCAAAGAACATACTAAAAAAAAATCAGTGAAATGAATGGTTGGTTCTTTTAAAAAATATAACTGATGAAACTTTATCTATAGAAAAAAGCTGAAATACATAAAATCAAGGATTAAAAGGGAAACATTACAACTAACATCAAAGAAATACAATGTATTTATTCTACCACTAAGTCTGATAAGTTAGAAGAAGCTGACAATTCTTAAGATGTACATGTTATCAAGAAGAAGCAGAATGCCTAAACACACACATAAAAGGACAATGAGATTCAATTAATAATAGAAAGTCTACCAGCACACACACTCACAAAAATCTCCAGGACCCTATGTTTTCCCCATTTAATTCTAACAAAAAGCATGAACACAAATCCATGAACACAAACTCATTCTGTGGAAACAGCACTGTTGTGATATCAAGCCCCAAGAAAAGTACAACAAGAAAAAGAACACCACAGACCAATATCCTCAGTGAACAGTGTTGTGGCACAGATGGTTATCTGACACGGGCAACATAGGCACCTCATATTGGAAGGCTGCCTATTCCTTTTCCAATCCAGCCTCCTGAAAATGCACCAGGGACTGTAGTGGATGGTGTTCTAAGAGTTTCTGGTTCCTAGCTTCAGCCTGGCCTAGTCTTGGATGTTGGGGCATCTGGACAATGAACCAGCAAACGAAAGATTTCTCTTTCTTCCTCTCTTTCTCTTGCCCTGAATATCTAATCAATAAATAAATCTCTTACATATCTTCAACAACATATTAGCAAATTGAATGCAACATATTAGCAAGTTGAATGCAACAGCACATTAAAATGATTATGCAAAATGGACTCATCCTAGGTGTGCAAGAATGCTTCAACTATGCCAATCAACAGAAACACAGTCATATCTACAGAATGGAGCGAAAAAAATCATATGACACAGTAAAAATATCTGATAAAAAATTCAAATCACACTGGAAGGAGTCAGTTGCTTTGTGAATGACATGATTTTATATACAGAAAATTTTAAATGTCATCAAAAGGTTGATGACATCAATAAATAAATTCAGCAAAATTACCAGATACAAAATCAATGTGTAAAAAAAATCAGTAGCATTGTTATACACCAACAGGAAACTATCTGGAAAAGCAATCCAGAAAGCAATCCCATTTCCAATAGCTGCTATAAAATTCAATACTGAGGAATAAATTATATCACAGAAGTGAAAAATATCTAAGCAAAAATCATAAATCATTGATGAAATAAATTGAGGAAGACACAAAAACTAGAAATATATCTTCTACCCATGGATTAGAGTGATCAATGTATTTAAAATGCCTACATGACCCAAAATAATTTGTAGATTCAATTCAGTTCAATTCTTGTCAAAATATCAATGATATTTTTTCACAAACCAGAAAAATATAAATGGAACCATAAAGAAGCCCAAATAGAAAAAAACAAGCTTGAGTAAAAGGTCAGAGATGCATTATACCCCTTGACTCAAAAACCCATTTCAAAACTACAATAATTATAACACCAAAATAACGGAATAGAAACAGACACATAGACCTCATACGCCTACAGCCAGCAAATCTGACAAAGGTGCTAAAAATATGTATTGGAAAAGGACAGTCTTATCAATAACAAGTGCTGGGAAATTGAGATACCTGCTTGAAGAATGAAATTAAACCCCATATCTCTTATCACATACAAAAAGCAATTAGAAATAAAGATTTACATGTAAGAACTAAAATTTCAAAAGTACTAGAAGAAAACATATAGGAAAAGCTTGAGGCCCCTGAAATGGACAAAGATTTTTAAATTATTACTATATCTCAAAGGCACAGGAAGCAAAAGCAAAATTCACCAAACTGCAGAACCTCTACACAGCAAAGGAAACAGCAGTGTGAAAACACAATCTCTAAAACTGGAGATAATATGTGCAATACATACATCGGACAAGGGGTTAATAACTTGAATATATATAAGAAATTCAAAACTATTCAGTATGAAAAGAAACCCGACAACAAATAATCCAATTTAAAAATACGCAATAGATCTAAACAGACATTTCTCAAAAGAAGATAGAGAAATAGCCAAGAGGTCCATGCCCCCCTCAATGCTCAACAACACTAACCATCAACTCAAAATCCCAATGAGATAGAACCTCAACCCAAGTTAGAGTGGTATCATCAAAATGACTAAAGAGAAGAGATGTAGGAAGGATGCAGCGACAAGAGGGTCCTTGTACACTGTTGGTATCAGTATTGTGGAAAACAACACGGAAGCTCTTTTATCCCTGAACACGGACCTACCTTATGATCCATCACTGACTATATAACCCATCATTCAAGTTGCAATTGTTTAGCAAGTTTTTGTGATCATTTCAACTAAGTTGCCAAATATCTCTTAAAATATTTTAAGGCTATTCAACAACTATAAGAACGTTCTTGTTGCCATTTCTTTAATCTGATACTAATGGAACATCCTTTAATTTGATAGTGTTTCTAATCTCTAATTAGTATGTTGTATGATAATGGAGTCCTGGGAGGAATGACATCGGTATTTACTGAATCTGGAAAACAGAGACTCTCACAAGGAAGACTGTGGGATCACTACCAGCTCACCCGGAAGTGAAGTGCTGAGCTATCTGTGGTTGTCTGGTGTTTGCCCACCTTGATGAAGTCTGCAAAAAAGACTAGAGCCCTTGCCTTCACTCTCATCAAGACCCAGAGACGGAAATGTTCACATCCAGTCTCACAAAACTGTCCTTAATTTTCATCAAAGACTACTTGGTCTTTCATGAACAGAAAGTAGTTCACATTTTATTTTTTTTTTTTAGTAAAAACTCTGACATATTTTCAAATGGTAAATTTTTCTTTTTTCATTACTTCCTTTACATTAAGCTTAATTTCCAGTCAATATACCAAGTTAGAAACCTGGAAACCCCCAGTAGTTTAGCTTTGCTTTGTATGTACCTCAATAGCAGCTCCATTGTCCATTCTTATGTGAGGAATTTTTCCTTCTGTAATGTTGCCTCGATTCCATTGTTGTTGAGATGCTTTTCTCTCTACGCTTAAGGTTCTTGAGGGCTGGAACCAAACAGAAATTGTAAATAGATAATATTCTTGCTGAATATTAATGCAGATGATCTGATAGCTCTTCTATGTACCATCATATTTACTGTGTGTTCGATATTTTCCTGTCCTTTTGAAAACCCAAGCCCTACATGATTCAGTGGCTCACTAGGCCAAAGCGCATCTTAAGTCATTCAGTCAGATTTTCTGAAACTACATGATAACCTGAACACCAGATAACATCAGTTTACCTGATAACTCCTTTCCAATTTTTTTTCAAGATTTATTTTTATTATTTTTTTATTGGAAAGGCAGATATACAGAGAGGAGGAGAGACAGAGAGGAAGATCTTCCGTCCGATGATTCACTCCCCAAGTGAGCGCAACGGGTCGATACTATGCCGATCCAAAGCCAGGAGCCTCTTCCGGGTCTCCCACATGGGTGCAGGGTCCCAAAGCTTTGGGCCGTCCTCGACTGCTTTCCCAGGCCACAGGCAGGGAGCTGGAAGGGAAGCAGGGCTGCCGGGATTAGAACCGGCGCCCATATGGGATCCCGGACGTGCAAGGTGAGGACCTTAACCACTGCGCCACCGCGCTGGGCCCCTCCAATTTTTAAAAAAATATTGTTTATTTGACAGTGAGATAGACAATGAAAGAGTTAAAGAAAGAGAGACCAAGAGATATCCCATCTCCCAAAGGTCAGGGTCAGGAAGTCAATCGAGCTGCCCTGTGAGGGTGGCAGAGTCATCCACACTGCACTGCAGCAGCGGGAAGCTGGGGTCTGGAGCCAGAGCCAGGAGTCCACCTGGCCACGCTGATGTGAAATACAGGCACCTTAACCTCTAGGTCAAACAGCTAGCACCACCTTCACAGTTTTCTCAATCACACTTGTTTTCAAGTGTAACAAACATCTCAACAGATTATTGGTTAGACAGTCAAAATGTGCTCTAAATGAAAAACAACAATGATTCATTCAGAAACATCTCTATGGCAACATCCATACTACCAACAAAATTATAAGTAGTAGCTGGGGGGTTAAAATATAATCAAGGGGGCCCGGTGCGATAGCGTAATGGTTAAAGTCCTCGCCTTGCACACACTGGGATCCCTTATGGACACTGATTCTAATCCCAGCAGCCCTATTTCCCATCAGCTCCCTGCTTGTGGCCTGGGAAAGCAGTCAAGGACGGCCCAAAGCCTTGGGACCCTGCACCTGCATAGGAGACCCGGAAGAGCTCCTGGCTCCTGGCTTTGGATGGGCTCAGCTCCAGCCGTTGCAGCTGCTTGGGGAGTAAACCATTGGACAGAATATCTTCACCTCTGTCTCTCCTCCTCTGTATACCCACCATTCTAATAAAAATAAATAATAATAAAAAATATAATCAAGGGCCAACTTTGAAGGGTAAGACCCTCACTTTTCCTAAACTGACTACTCTGTCTCCAGAGCTGGGCTATAACAACTGCAACCTTCCATATTACTTCGTTATAAATGTGAATATATGCATATCAGGCCAACTGTGTGTTTAATTGTTTATAACTAATGCAAAATAATTTCATGAAGTATATTTGATATTCCATAGATCACCAGAAATTGTCTTAAATAATAAGCTACAATCGCCCTTTATTTAACCACAACCATAAATCTCTTTCTGGTCAGTTGAAGAGAATACTCAAACTTTCAGCTTTATTCCCACTTGAAAATCAGAGCCTTTCTACAAAATCCATTTATCAAAAAGCTGAAGTGACATTCCTGATTATTCAGGATCCTGAGAAATAATTAACTTGGGCACCCCTCTGCTCATTTCTGCTGTAACGAAGAATGTTCCTTTAACAGTTAAGGAAACGGACTGGCTGACAGGATTTATGGGATACGGACAAGGTCAGAGATGCGATTAGGGGATGGCATGTCAATCGATGTTGAGATGTAGTTTTTGATATTTACCACATCTTTCACAGAGAGAAAGTCTCTGCTGCTATTTCTTTCTTTTTTTCTCTCTGGTAAAGCTAAAACTTCCGTACTGCCCATGCTTGATGTCTGTGACATTTCCACCACCAAAATTGAAGAAGTCTTTGGTGTACTGGAACATAAGCAAAGTGCATCTTTCTGAGAAGATGACGAACATTTGGGGCATTCTGAGGATTTGTTTTTAGCCATTTGCTTAACTCTGCATCAAAAGCACTTGAAAGACAATATCCACTTTCTGAGTAACACAACCAAACCCAAAAGGATATGGTAGGTTGTTGATGGAAACGGTGGCTTTCAACTGGCGAGGTCCTCAGATCAATGATGCACTAGGGGAAGCTTCACACATGAGAGCTGCAGAAAGAGAAGACACTGTCACTCAGAAAATTCACATCTTACTGTCCTAGAAATCACAGAAAATCCAGTACCAAACAAAACATGCACAGAAATAGAAAACAAACATTTGTGACAAAAATGGACCACAAAACCACTGAAAAACAGTCTAAAACAGCATCCTATCAAATTGCAGGAAAGGGTTATAAAATTAATTCGGTAGATTAATACCAATTTTCTAAAATGAAGCAGAGTAGAATAGATAATATTTTATACGGAACCTCAGTAATTTCTTTGAAACTTTCAACTGCACAAATATATACAGAAATAGAGTGGGTGTGCATTGTGTATACTTGCTCACAATATTAAATGTACCTTTAATGTGGTTATAATTTTTTTAAAGATTTATTTCTTTTTATTGGAAATTCAGATATACAGAGAGGAAGAGAGACAGAGAGGAAGATCTTCCATCTGATAATTCACTCCCCAAGTGGCCGCAATAGCCGGAGCTGAACCAATCCAAAGCCAGGAGCCAGGAGCTCTTCCAGGTCTCCCACACGGGTGCAGGGTCTCAAGGTTTCAGGCCATCCTCAACTGCTTTCCCAGGCCACAGGCAGGGAGCTGGATGGGAAGTGGGGCTGCTGGGATTAGAATCAGTGTCCATATGGAATCCAGGCACATACAAGTCAAGGACTTTAGCTGCTAGGCTACCATGCAGGCCTGTGGTTATAATTTTAAAAAGTCAAAAAAAAAAAAAAAAACAACTGTGAAACATGTATGTCACTATGGTTTCAAAATTCAAAATTTTATTTATTACCAGAGGAAATTCTTATTAAAAGTTCTACAAAGAGAATGTAATTTGATTTTATAAAATCATCTGATTCTAAAAGTTCAAAGGCAATTTTAGAAGCACCCTCTGTTTTGCACTCTCACATAACTAAAACAAGAATGCTATTAAAGTAAAAATGGTAGTGCTATTTTTCACCAAATCTAGGATAGGGTCAGTGTCAGCCACTTTTGCAGCAAGCTCAAAAGATTGGAGGGAATGAAGATTGGGCCCTGCGGTCTCTGCAGTACATATAAGGCAGAATCCTGAGCAATTCATGTGACCAACTGAAAGAACATTGCCATGGCTTCACGCCTCACTATTCCAGATACTCTTGAAAAGGTTATTTTGTACTTGCAGATTTGCTAGGCCTGAGGACATATGGAATATGCTTCTGCTTTTTAAACTGGAATAAACTTCACCAGAATGGCTTGTCAAATATTTTACTTCACTGAAGAAATATCTTTCAGGGGGACCAAGATGGCTGAAGAGGGAAATGACATGCTGATTTTGTCTCCAAAAAGATAATGAAAGAAAAGCAGAGGAAGTGCCTTCACAGGGGACAGCTGAAGAGAAATTCGCAGTGGAAATTGCACAGAAAGAGGACAGACACCATGGAAAAGCGTGAACAGTGCAATCACGCAGCAGCAAGTGGGCACACTGTGTCAGGGAGTGGAGAAGACAGCAGATCTGGAAAGGTGAGAGCCGACCATCCTAGCCAGTCAGTGCTGTTGCTGCCTGACAAAGACCACACTGGCTCTAGGATCCACCTGGATCACGGAGTCAGGGACAGGGTGCTCACTTCTTTTCACCATTTCCCTATCAAAGCACCCAGATTAGCTGGAGGGACAGGGGGAGGGGAACATCATTTTGAGGCAGCCAGATCAGCCAGGAGTGGCCATCATCTTCAGGTCAGCAAAGGCTGTGCTGGCTGTGCGCAGCTGCTGAGCTGTAGTTGCACAGCACACCTAGGTCTGTACGAGTAGACACGATTAGACAATTCTACAGAAGAGACAAACCCCTGTTCCTCAATGACTTTGAGTCTACAGGCTCAGGTACAAACCGCCAAGGTGGAGCGGTAGCTCACTCTGGAAACAACGCTGCTGCCTGTGTGAGTGGGGCCCCAGCACCCTACGACTGCGGGAGTCTACCAAGATCCAGAACCAGATCAGGGTGCTCGCTCTCACCATGGCTATTCAGTACACGCCTGGAAGTTTAGCCAGAGCCATTCGGGCAAGAGAAAGAAACCAGAGAGAAATTATAACCCAATTATCTATATTTGCAGATGACATGATTCTCCATAAAGGGGACCAAGAGGACTTTATTAAGAGACTATTGGAAGTGCTAAGACAATTTAGTAAAGTTGCAGGATATAAAATCAGCACACAAAGATCAACAGCCATTGTGTACACAAACAATTCCATGTTGGAGAAAGAATTTGTAAAATTAGTCCCTTTCACAATTGCTGCAAAAAAAAAATCAAATGCTTGGGAATAAATTTGACCAAGGATGTGTGGGATCTTTACAATAAAAATTATAAAACATTAACAAAATATATTAGTACACCAAAAATAGAAAATCTTCCACGTTTTTTGATTGACAGAATCAATATCATCAAAATGTCTATATTAGTAAAAGCAACTTACACATTCAATGCGATCCAAATTAAAAGACCTATGACATTACTTCTCAGGAAAACAAAATCATGCTAAAATTTATATGGAAACAAAGGAGACACCTAATAGCTAAATCTATCTTAAACAACAAAAACAAAACCAAAAGAACCACAATATCAGTCTGTAAGACATACTACAGGGGAGTTGTAATTAAAACAGTTTGCTTCCAACACAAAAACAAACAAAATCAAACAAACAAAAACAACCCCCAAACCAGACATGCAGTTCAATGGAGCAGAACAAAAATCCCGGAAATGAACCAAAACATTTATAGGCAACAAAATTTTGAGAAGTGAACTAAAATCAGTCCAGGGAGAAAGAATAACTTGAAAAAAAATGGTGGGCCCGGCGCGGTGGCACAGTGGTTAAGGTCCTCGCCTTGCACGCCCGGGATCCCATATGGGCGCCGGTTCTAATCCCGGCAGCCCTGCTTCCCATCCAGCTCCCTGCCTGTGGCCCGGGAAAGCAGTCGAGGACAGCCCAGAACCTTGGGACCCTGCACCCATGTGGGAGACCTGGAAGAGGCTCCTGGCTTCGGATTGGTGTAGCATCAGCCGTTGCGCTCACTTGGGGAGTGAATCATCGGACAGAAGATCTTCCTCTCTGTCTCTCCTCTCTGTATATCCACCTTTCCAATAAAAAAACAATAAAAATAAATCTTTAAAAAAATGGTGATGGGAAAACTAGACATGTAGACATATAAGACTGCTACTTTATACCTTACATGAAACTCAACTCAAAATAGATCAAGGATCTAAATTGATGACCTTGTACCATCAAATTACTAGAGAAAAACATCAAGAAAACTATAAAACATAGGCAGCGCAGAGACATCAAGGAAAACAACCCAGAAGCACAAGCAATGAAAGTAAAAATAAACAAAGGGGATTACATCAAGCTAAGAACCTTCTGTACCACCAAGGAATCCACTGACAAAACTGACAAAGGAAAGAAGCAACCAACAAAATGTAAACGATATTTACAAACTATGCAACTGGTTAATATCCGGGATCTATAAAGACCACAAGAACAAAACAAACAATACAGATAACAAATAGGTAAAGGACATGAACAAGCAATATTCAAAGGATGAAGCACAGTCATCCAACAGTCACTTGAAAAAAATGTTCAGCATCATTAACCATCAGAGAAATACAAATAAAAACTACAATGAGGTTTGCTCCAAATGCATTATAAAGTCAGTCAGTTCATCTTATTCAGTTAGAATAACCAAAATTCGACTACGGCAGTATGTCCAAAAGGCAGGGAAGGTTCTACTGGCAATCCTGCTCATAAACAGTTCCAAGAGTCCTAAGTGCTGCACTCACATCGACCAGGCAACGAGTGCAGCACATTTCACGAAGATAGGAGTAATATTAATAAACAAGTCAGCTCAGTTAGGTTTATTCCAAGATATTTCAGTATTTTTCTGTTATTTTGAAAGGTGCCACACTGATGAGTTCTTGTTCAGTGCTGGAGTTACTTACATACATTAGTGCTGTTGATTTCTGTTCATTTATTTTGTGCCTTGCCACTTTACCAAACTCTCGCATAAGTTCTAGCAATCTATTGAATTTTCTGGTTCTGTGCAATATAGAATCATGTTATCTGCAAACAGAGATAGCTTGACTTCCTCTTTTCCAATTTGGATTCCCTTAATTTCTTTTTCTTGCCTAATAGGTCTTGCGAGTACTTCCAGCACTATGTTAAATAGCACTGGTGATAGTGGACATCCTTGTCTAGTTCCAGATCTTACTGGGAAGCCTTCCAATCTTTCCCCATTCAGTATGATGTTGGCATTGGGCTTTTCATAAATTACTTATGTTGTGCAATGTTATTTCTATGCATATTTTGCCTAGAATTTTTAGCATGAAGGAGTGTTGGATTTTACCAACTGCTTTCTCTGCATCTATTAAGACTATAATATGATTCTTGTTCTTCAGTTTCTTAACGTGGTATATCACATTTATAGATTTATATATGTTAAAACATCCCTGCATACCAGGTTTGGTTGAATGATCTGTTTGTTGTATTACTGCATTCTGTTCGCTAGTTGGTGTTTTTTTTAAGATTTAGTTATTTTTATTGCAAAGCCAGATATACAGAGTAAGAGAGACAGAGAGGAAGATCTTCCATCTGATGATTCACTCCCCAAGTGACAGCAACGGCCAGTGCTGTGCCATTCCGAAGCCAGGAGCCAGGAACATCCTCTAGGTCTCCCATGCGGGTGCAGGGCCTCAAAGCTTTGGGCAATCCCTGACTGCTTTCCCAGGCCA